GTTCGCTCTGTCCTATGTTACTGTACCCGTATTAAGTGCCATGTGACGAGCACGCGTGTTCTTTGTCAGCTGGGGGTGAAAAAAGTTGCGTATCAAAGTAGCCTGTGGAGGATAACAAAGGCAAAAATCTGCCCCGGAGAGACTCGAACTCTCGATCTTCTGATACCGACTGTTAACAGTCAGACGCCTTAACCAGCTGGGCCACGGGGCAGTGAAAGCTGCGTCCCACGTGGAATATACAACCTGTGAAACCGTCAGTCATTAGACACAATAGCAAACATGCCATCCATTTAGAATGCTTGCTTAGATCTCTCAACTCTACAGTCACTACTTGAAGGAGTTCGATCGCTCTCTTGGTATCCCGCATGTCCGTGATCTGCAGCACGTGCTCAACGTCAAGGTTTGTTCCCGGAGTACCCACACATCGTTACCGGACCGACTCCGAGTCTAAACTCTATCTCTACTCAACGTTGACTTCATACCGGACGGTTCCTTGGTTCTTCCACAACCTTCGTAGGATGTCGTTAATTCGCCGCTCCTCTGCTCTTCACGCGTGTCCGCGCGATCCTCGATGCACTACTGCCCCCAGCCATGGATCAGATGTGCCTCGCGGTGTACGCACTGCATCTTCCATTGTGATCGAGATTTGACTGACTCGATTCGAGGAGGATATGTCAGCCATTGTTCAGATAAGTACCGGAGATCGTGGGTCTTGGGCGCCTTTGAGGTTTGAACGGAGAGGGAGATATACGGTCCATCAGTATCGATTTTGCGTAGTGCATTTCCTTCATTTCACTCCCCCATGGAACTAATTCGTTCATAGACTCTCATACTGTCATACAAGCGGCCCACGACGTCACCTCGCCCTACCCACCCTGCCAATGAGGTGCGGTGAGCTTACATAGCCCACTTGCCTCGTCTACGCTGCCCATACATACTTGCTGCTGCTCCATCTCAATATGCCCGACGATTCCTCGGGTTCCCCGCAGCCCCCGCCCCAGACATCGAAGCTGGTGGTTCACGATGTCCGCCGAATCAGCCACGCGTCGCACGATAGTACCCGTTCATGGGTGCTCACCCAGCGGCAGCAGCAGCAGCAGCAACTACAACAACAGACTGGGGATCCCGAGGCTGTAGGACCCCGCCCACGTCCTGTGAGTCAAGGCAGTCGCCCGCTCCCCACACCGCCTCTCCGGACATATTCCGGTGCAGCACAGCGATTGACGGTCGACGACGAGATCGAGGGAGAGCACATGTGGGTCAAGCTTCCGGAGGCTGCGCAGGCGGGGTACGGGTTCGGCTATGGCCCGGAGGTGAGCCCGGGCATCAATGCGAAAGCGCAGAAGGAGATGGAGCGCGCGAGGGAGCGAGAGAAGAAGAGCCGCAATAACAAGGACCGGGCCGAGCAGAAGGCACAAGCTCCTGAGAAGGGCGCCGGGACGACCAGCTTCGTCGGTGGATTCGTATCCGGGCTGCGCCGACTCCCCAGGACGTTCGTCCGGAATCGGGCGCGGCGGGGGACGATCGGCACGGAGACCACCACCGCCGCGACGCTCCCGCAGTACGCCTCGAATCCGCCGACACCGATCGTCCCGCCCGCCTTCAACAATTCGCAGCACAGGAGCCGGAACAGCGAAGACGCGCGCATGCGCGAATCGCCCCGTGCGCAGTTCCCGAGCTTCCGCGTCGTGCCGCCGGAGGGCGACGCGCTGGGCGAGCAGGCGCAGGTCGTGCACGATCTGGGTGCGCTCGAGGCAGGCACGCCTGCCGCGATGCCTGGCGGACTGGAGCTGGCGCCCGATCCGATGCCTAGCACGGCCGACGACCACGCGTATCACCGGGATCGATCGCACCCCCCAACAACGCGCACGAACACACACCCGGACACGCTCCCGGCGCATGTCCCGTCGATCGTGTTGAGCCGTGCGCCGTCGGCGTCTGTGGTCACACGCCTTCCCCTCGACGCTGCTGCTGCTGCTGCTCTCCCGCCGCAAGCGGACGACGAGCCGGTGTCGATCAACGCACGCCCGCGGCCGACGGAGGATTACCGACGCATGTCGACGCATATCTCGCATCCTCAGAGCGGCACGACCGTGGATTCAGCTGCGTATGGCGAGAGGTCGTCGCAGGACTTCAGCTCCGACACGCCGTCGTTCTCCGCAGAGCTCCGGGAGCAGCGGCAACGCCAAGGCGGGAATGCCTGGATTCGCTTCTTTGGTAAGCTGCACGCCATGCCCTGGGTCGTTGGCGAGGAAGAGCGGATCACGGTGGATTGGAAGCCCAAGAAGCTCAAGCCGAAGCCCGTCCCGGAGAATTCGTGGTATCGACCAGTCGAGGAGCGCGAAGAGAGAGAGAAGCAGGAGGCGGAAGAGAAGGCTCTCAGGAGAGAGCGGAGGGCCCGCGCCAGAGAGAGGAGGGAGAGAGCTCTCAGGGAGCACGGTACTCAGGACGACGACGAAAACGAGCGGACGACCGGCTCCCCCATTTCATCGCATTCACACTCACCACAACAAGCGCCCTACTATCCCCCGAATCCGTACCCATATCCGTATTACCCCATGGCATACATGCCAGCTTACCCGCCTACGCCGCCAATCACACCGCCCAGTCCCGGCAGGCGGCGCGCAGCGTCGCCGGGCGCAGGCAAGTCCAAGCCGCGCGGATCGAAACGCCGCAGGCCGAGGTCGCATCCCCACCTCGGCCCCGCCAATCCTCAGTCTAGCCATCCCTTCCCCCCAGCGTGGATGCCCGTCTCGCCCACCCCGCTGTACGTGATCCAGGCGACGCCGCCCCCGACACAGAGCGGCTCCCCGCCCCCGCCGCCCCCGCCACTTCATGACGAGCCCCGGCCGGGGTCGGGCGCGGGGTCGGGTGCTGTTGCGGCGGATGCTCAGGCCGGCCACGGCGGAGGAACGCCGGTGTTGACGCCGATGCTCGTGCAGCATATGCATGTTCCGCCCGGCGGCAGCCCTGTGTTTCTCGCCGGGAACGCCGGTGGGCCGGGGTATGCCTATGCGTGGACGCCCCCGCCGGGATGAGCGTGTTACTTTGTGTATTATTTTGATGTAGATGGGTTTACCAGTAGTTATATGTACTTGCACTGTATGTCAAATATCAACTGCCTCCAAGCCATGGATTCGATGGGATACTGTGAAAGTCAAACTTGGTCATAAGATCGAGAACGATCGAGTGCTTATCCTCTTCTCCCTTCACTGTGCAAAGAAGCCTCCTCCGTCGGAAAGGAACCGGCGCGTGTCAGCCATAATCATGGGACTCGTTATGTTGAGGTTCCATTACTCCGCCCGACGGGTCCCGTCTCGTCATAAACATCGCAGACGAGCGTACCGAGAGCAGGCGACGCGCGAAGCAATTTGACGGAGTGGGTGCTTCGCAGGGCCGGGGGAGCGTATAACAGGACGAGCACAGACACGGTCTCGGTCCTGCCATTCTTCCTTTCCATCCAGCTCATTCCCAGCCCGCTATGTCCACCACCGTCCGCGCTGTATTCGTCAGTGGGGCCAACCAAGGTGCGTTCGATGCCATTCTGTCGCGTGCAGCTATAGACCATTCCGGAATCCCACCTGCCTAGGTCTGGGCTATCACACCGTGCACCAGCTCGCGCAGACGCCGAACATGGTCCTCTTCATGGGCGCCCGCCGAATGACCGCCGCAGCGGAAGCCATCACTCAGTTGACGCCGGACATCCACCCCACCTCCCGTGTGTTCCCCGTCTACATCGATCTCGCGAACGAGGAGTCGATCACGGCGGCGAAGGAAAGCGTCGCCGCGAAGCTGAAGGAGCTCGGGGTCCCGGGCCTGGATTTCCTAATCAACAAGTGCGCCGTGCACCATCGCGTTGACGCAACGACCTGACTCCCGCGGGACCACAGCGCAGCGAACTCGGAAGGCCCCGATATCCTCGTGCTGACGATCAACATCGCGGCGACGATCGCAGTCAAGAACGCCTTCTACCCGCTGCTCAACAAGGGCGGCGAGATCATCAACATCTCCTCCGAGCTCGGCTCCCAGACGCGCCACGCCGACCGCCCGCCGATCCGCCCGGCGGGGCTCAAGACGTACAGCGCGAGCAAGGCCGCGCTGAACAACCTCACGCTGCAGTGGGCGTTCGAGGAGGAGGAGAAGGGGACCGGCATCCGCGTTGTGTCGATTTGTCCTGGTGCGTCCTCCTGCAAGCGCCAAGCATGGGGTTGGGCGAGGGGCTGAAAGTGTTCTCCCAGGCCTCAATGCAACAAGCATGGCGCACTTCGTGGAGGCCGGAATGCATCCGTCTGAGGGATGCAAGGTGATGGTGAAAGAGGTTCTGACGCCCTCGGGCAAAAGCGGCGTGTTTTTCAATAAGGACGGCCCGCTGCCTTGGTAAGGGTGTCATTACTCCACTCGAGTAGTTTGTGAGAGGGGCAAGCCTGGGAGCGACCTCGAATTCATACGATATCTGCTAAAACACTGCATGCCCTGGACATGAAGCTGCTGTTTCGTCATCGATGGTGAAAACACCGCAGGAACAGCATAGCCGCGTCCCGAGACCAGGATTCGTTCCTGTAATCGTGTTTGCTCTGCGCATCTCAGCCTTGAGTGCGACAAGGAGGCCAAAACTACGTGAGATAATGGTCGCCTTCGAGTCGGGCTGTCTTCTTTTTAAGCTGCCGAGGTCATTGGGTCCAATTCCCTCAAAGAGGGTTGATGCAGATATCAAGTCTTTGGATTTGACCAAAGACTTGATCATGACAGCGTCACATGTGATCAAGAAGTCACGGCCCACGGGCCACGAGAGAATACTTCTGACGACGTCCTCCACCGTTTCTCGGTCCCAAAAATCGTCTCACTGTCCATAAGAAATGAAGCCACTCACCTTTTAAGTTCCGGTTTTTTCTCTAAATGAACTAATGTTTGATTTCCGAGGCCAGTGAGATTTACTTGCTCTGGTAGTCTGTCACTTGTGCGTGACCTCATATCACCTCATTTGGATGTCACCTTGTAAGCACGCATCGACGACCTCCGCAAGGACACTCGAGACCGAGCGCAACGAGCTCCTGCGCGCGCCCGAATCGTCACGGCTTTTGATCCGTCCTGTCTACTTGGAGGCCGATGTTAGGGTATTCGGCAGCATACTTACTGCACGAGGGAACTTGCCGATCTGCCTTGAGTGCGCTCATCATGCTCATGTGCCCTAGTTCACGCGATACCACGCCGGCTACTCCGCGTTCGTGGAGCTGTGTTCCGTTGTCAAGGTCGGCGAACGCCAAGAACATTGAACAAAGCTGCGGCACTCGGGGGTCGTCCAAGGTTCGACGGCACTGTGCTCGTGTCTTGTGTTGAAACGTAGTCTCGGGCTTGCTTGTCGGAACTTTATCGCGGAACCCCGGGCGACGGCGTATGGTAGAAGCTCCGCGGTACTCGCCACTCAACGTTCAAGATCTGGACAGAACATGTCGACAGGGAGCGCTTGTTCTACTCCCTAAGGTCGTCAGCTCAGCACACTCGACGCTTCGCCCCCCCTGGAACACATCGTTCTCGCCTGGTCGGTATCGCTCCCTCAAGAAGATATGGCCCACACCTGGTGTCACATGGCTATCTCCGTGCCGCGACAGGCTAGAGCTGTGCTTCCCATATGTCATTCAATTCCGTCAACCCACTCGTCAGTGCAGAGAGCCGCAAAGAACTGTCGCTTTGGGGCACAAGTCTCTTGCCGTCTTCACGAGGATTCTGCAATGTCCTCGGCGATGCAGCAGTTCTCAGGGCTGTCAGCGTGGTATTTGCCGATGTGAGAACGGTACATGATCTGTAATGGGAGAGAGATGGTCTTGGCGGCTGACTGGAGGCTGAGTAAGTGCGTCTCGGTCTCATCGCCTGGCGGCTTGGCCGGACTTGTTTTCACAATTGACTACCTGGAGTCTGACGCGATACGTTTAGAAGGCCTAACTGTAGTCAAGTGGGCACAGAACAATCGATTTCTTCCCCCTCCAACCGGTCCAAGAAGCATTTGCCGTCGGAAAGGAACCGACGAGTGTCAGCTACGATCATGGGGATCGCTGCACTTTGCCCCCATTACTCCGCCCGACGGGTTCCGTCTCGTCATCACCGTCGCAGACAAGAAGAATCCCGAGCGCAGACGGCCCACGAAGCACTCAGACGCAGTGGGTGCTTCGCAAGGTCAGACGGGCGTATATGAGGGTGAGAACAGATGCGGACTGAGTCTCACCAGTCAACCTCGACATCCAGCCCATCTCCGACCCGCTATGTCGACCACCACCCGCTCTGTGTTCATCACCGGTGCGAACCAAGGTGCGTTCGATGCCATTCCGTCGTGTGCGGCTACAGACCATCGCGGATTCCCACCTGTCTAGGCCTGGGCTATCACACCGTGCACCAGCTCGCACAGACGCCGAACATGGTCCTCTTCATGGGCGCCCGCCGAATGACCGCCGCAGCGGAAGCCATCGTCCAAATCACACCCGACGTCCACCCCACCTCCCGCGTGTTTCCCGTGTACATCGATCTCGCCGACGAGAAAACCATCGCCGATGCGAAGGATGCCGTCGCCGCGAAGCTGAAGGAGCTGGGTGTCCCAGGTCTGGACTTCCTCATCAACAAGTGCGCCCAGCGTTTTCGTGCCTCCTTCGGCGTACTGAACCCCGGGAACCAGCGCGGCCAATGGTGGAAGCCCGGTCGTCCTCACGCTGACGGTCAACATCGCGTCGACCATCGCGGTCAAGAACGCCTTCTACCCGCTGCTCAACAAGGGCGGCGAGATCATCAACATCTCCTCTGAGCTCGGTTCGCAGGCGCGCCACGCCGCCCGCCCGCCCATCAGCTTCGAGGGCCACGATCTCATGGTCTACGCTGCGAGCAAGGCGGCGCTGAACAACCTCACGCTCCAGTGGGCATTCGAGGAGGAGGAGAAAGGCTCCGGCATCCGCGTCGTGGCGATCTGCCCTGGTGCGTTTTCCCATCCTGCCGGCGCTCGAGTCCGCGTGTTGATGGTGATGATTGCTTTGTCAGGTCCGAACTCGACGAGCATAGCGCACTTCTCGAGCTTCGGGATGCATCCGTCTGTTGGATGCGGTGTCATGGTCAACGAGGTCCTGGCGCCCTCGGGGAAAAGTGGCGTGTTCTTCAATAAGGACGGCCTGATTCCTTGGTGACAGTCTTGTACAATATCTAATCAATCGGCGCGCACAATCAGATCTGATAATCTTTGTCCATGTGATCAGCGCGGCACGACGCGCAGGCAGGTCTCTGAATCGTTTATGACGGCTGAATCCGGACGAGGGCCCACTCGGGGTTCACCACCTGGCGCCAAAGTCTCGCGTTCCAGAGCGGTGCGTGTGTAGACGCAAGAGAGAACCATGGCCCACTCCGTGCAGGCGAGGATGCATCCGTCTGAGGGATGCAAGGAAATGGCTAGCGGTCTTGACACCGTCGGGAAAAAGCGGCGTGTTTTCAGCAAAGACGGCTCACTTTTTTGGTAATGTGCCTCTACTTTGGTCTTCTTGTGAGCCTTCGAACTAAGTGCCTTCTAGCCCCTGCTAGGGTCAATGAAATCGCCTGCTTTGATAGTCACGCCAGTGACCTGGATCACCTCAAGTTGATGCCACCCTCTCAGCACGCATCGACGGCCCCTTCGCAAGGAGCTCAAAACACTTGAAACCCAACGCAATGACCTTCTGAGAAACCCCAATCGTCACAGTATTCGATCTGTCGCGTCCCATTGGAGACCATCGCTGTGGTATTCGGCTGCATAGTGGGAGTCTAAGCATAACTCACAAGCCACGTCGTGAATCTGCTTTCCGCGCGCATGCGCCGCAGATGACGCGATATCGCGCTGGCTGCAGACCCATATCTGTATGCTGTGGTCATGCCTCCGTTTGTTCCCCGGCCTTGCCATCGAGATTCGCCGGCGCTGTGTGGTGTGCTGCGCGCTAGTCGTCCCAGACTGGTGTATCCGGGACTTGCGGGCGATATTCTGGGAAACGGGGTGCAATGGACGCTTGTCGCTGGGGCTGCTAGTTTTCGACGATCTAGTTCTCCCGCGGGGTTGGGGGAGGTGTTTACCGACGCATCCACCCACGCGCGTGCCTGGCTCGAATTTCCCCTCGCTGGAATGTCCTGGCGACTCTCGCAATCGCAAAACCCCTGCGGCTGAGCGATCTCGCTTGCACCTGAACTGTCTCGCTCTTCCCGACATGCCACATCTCGGCTCGAGATCCTGAATCTTGGGATCGTGCGCGTGGAGCAAGTGCTGATGCTGGCGGGTTATTCACGTCGTCCTGCGTGCGGTCTGCTGCTGCTGGGCCCGTTAGAATACATGAGCATGCGCGTCGCCCAGTCATAATCCTCTCTGCAGAAAGAGTGGCTCCACTATGGACGTTCTTCTTAGGCACCTGGTTTATTCTGGTCAAGTACCTCCTCGGCAAGATCTAGATGATCCTCTCAAGTAGCTGCACACAAACTCTGGTGTCAGCGACGTGACTAGTTCCATCCCTCGATGAGCTGGAACTGCTCCAACCCTCTTGCATCATTCCCGTCAAGTTATTCGTCAGCCATCCGGAATGCCGCGCAGAACTCTCACTCCTGTGCGCAGATTCTTCGGCCACCTGTTGATGCTTCTGCAACGTCCTCGGGCATCCAGTGGTTTTCTTGACCGTCCGCATGGCATCGCCGACGAGGGAACGGTGCGCGATCAGTAATGGGAAGGAGATTGCTAAGCTCGTACATACGTCTCGGTCTGATCTCCGGGCGACTTGACTGGACTTGACTCCACAATGGTCAACCTGGAATCCGACAGGACACGTTGACACGGCTCTTGAGAGGGGTCAAGTGGGTCCAGGACGATCAGATTCTCCTCTCTTCACTGGTCCGAGAACCCTCCCGCCGGAAAATAATCGCCGAATGTCACCCATTATCATGGAGGCCGTTGGACTTTGTGCCCATTACTCCGCCCGACGGGTCTCATCTCGTCATCAGTATCGCAGACAAGGATCCCGAGCGCAGGCGGTGCACAGAATAATCCAAGGCAGTGGGTGCTTCGCAGAGCGGAGGACGAGCATATATGAGTTACGAGCACGGGCTATTAGGACCTCAGTCTGTCCAGTCCACTTCGACATCCATCCCATCTCCAACCCGTCATGTCCACCACCATCCGTGCTGTATTCATCACCGGTGCCAACCAAGGTGCGTTCGATGCCATTCCGTCGGGTGCAGCTATAAACCATCGCGGAATCCCACCTGTCTAGGTCTGGGCTATCACACCGTGCACCAGCTCGCGCGGACGCCCAACATGGTTGTTTTCATGGGCGCCCGCCGGATGAACGCCGCCGCGGAGGCCATCACTCAGTTGACGTCGGACATCCACCCCACGTCCTCCGTCTTCCCTATCTACATCGATCTCGCCAACGAAAAAACCATCACCGAGGCGAAGGATGCCGTCGCCGCGAAGCTGAAGGAGCTGGGTGTCCCGGGTCTGGACTTCCTCATCAACAAGTGCGTTCGTTTCCAGCCGTCTGACGCTCCTCCTCTCACCCACTCACTCCGGAATCCAGCGCGGCCAGCGCAGGAAGCCCGATCATCTTTGCGCTGACGGTCAATATCGCATCGATCATCGCCATCAAGAACGCCTTCTAAGTACTCGCTGCTGAACAAGGGCGGCGAGATCATCAATATCTCCTCCGAGCTCGGTTCACAGGCCCTCCACGCCGCCCGCCCGCCCATCATGTCTCGCGCGGAAGTCGCACAGGTCCGCCACGACGCCGCCGCCCCGTCCACCGGCGCTGAGGGCCAGAATCTCCTGGTCTACGCTGCGACGAAGGCGGCGCTGAACAACCTCACGCTCCAGTGGGCGTTCGAGGAGGAGGAGAAAGGCTCTGGGATCCGCGTCGTCGCGATCTGCCCTGGTGCGTTTTCCCATCCCGCCGCTGGTTGAATCCGCGTGTGACTCGTGAACGTTCATTCGTCAGGTCCCAACGCAACGAGCATGGCCGACTTCTCGACCCTCGGCGCGCATCCGTCTGTCGGATGTGGTGTCATGGTCAACGAAGTCCTGACACCCTCGGGGAAAAGCGGCGTGTTTTTCAATAAGGACGGCCCCCTGCCTTGGTAGATGTCTGTGTAACATATCGCGGCAATATGAATGCGCAATGAGACCGGAAGCTTGGTACCTCTGGCCAACTCGGCAAGGTTTGCAGAGCTCTGAAACGTCTCTGACGGCGCCTAGGACAAAGTAAGCCTTCTTCTCGCCTTTCCGTGTGGCGCGTGTTTGGACGCAAGAGAGGCAACAGCTGAGTAGTGTGCGTCGAGTTTGGGATCAGTGTAACCTTCTCGACCAAGCTCTTCTGAGGCAAGAGCAGCTCCTAGCATACCTCACCGCTCGTAAGGAGGGAGATCGGCTCGGTGTCCCTCATCTCATCGTGTCACCCGAACCCCCGGAGCAGACCACCACACGAGTCAGCATATCGCAGACGAGCGAGAGATCAAGTCCAAGTCCGAGATTCCAGCAGCGGTGCCCACCCGTTGCTGTTGAGCGATGGTGCACATGCCTGAGAACATGGTATTCAGGGTGACCAGCCAAGATCGGGGAGAGCGAGAGGATACAGAAACGATCAACAAAACAAAACAGGGGGAGTACGAGAGTACAAAGCAAGCCGGCCTTCAGGTCTCCACCTCCATCGTCGGCTCCGTCCTCGGTATCCTCGTCTCCCTCCCGAGACCAGCAGCACGCTCCGACTCCTCGATCGTGTACACCGGCTCCCTGAGCTGTTTGCATCGCCGCTTGTGGATTTTACTCTTCCAGTGTGACTGCAGTGCGTTGTCGGTTTCGTAGTACCTGAATACGTAGCATGTCAGTTGGCTGTCGTCCGGAGTCATGGATGCGGCGCGCACTTTGCACATTCTACGCAGTAGTGCTGGGCCAGGCCGGGGCGCTCATAGTCAAGCGGCTGGGCCTGCAACTCAGCTCGTCGCTGCGAGGAGAGCAAATGTTAAGCTGGGCCGATTTCATGAGTTTGATCTCATCACACACCTTGGGATCCAGGTCTAGCAGCTGAATCTGGTCGATATCGCGTCCTCGTGCCTAGCGATCCAAACAACATCAGCGGCGAGAAGAGGTCAGAGATCAAGTGACACACCCTGGTCCTCGCCCCTCGATGCACATCCCGTCGGGCATGGTGAGCTCTTGAGCGACGCAAGCGACCCATTATTTATTCAGGTGGGGGAGAGCAAAAGAAAATGATGGTGACTGCCACGACCACGTGCCGATCGAGAGGTGATCGGATGTCGAGGATCGATCACTGCTACTGTCACTGTCAATCCGATCCGCTCTCCGGACCGAATCTCGTCGAGCAGTGAAGCACAAGGAAGCACTGTAGTCTGTGTGGAAAGCAGCTTTCTGCCTGTGAGTCGCAAATGGTGGACTGAGCTGCCGTATTTTATGAGCAACCTGGCCGGCAGGGATGGTAGCTCTACCAGTCACATCGCCGTGGCTGGCACATGCGGTGAACAGTCGTTGTGAGACAAGTGTATGGGTGATATGCTATTAGTTCAGCATGCTGCTGATTTTACGCTAATTATGCGACAAAGTCTTGCTCAACAGCGTTTCGAATGGACGCTTTTATGTTAGCGACGGTCGAGCTGTGGTCGTAATACTTCTGCGAACAAGCGCACTGGGCCCGCCAGCAGGCCGCGGCCTCAGGCCATCCAACCATCTCCGACAGAATCGTGTCCCCCAACGGGCGTTTATTAAACTCGGACAGAAGCTGAGAAGCGCGATGAGTAAACGCAGCTCAGTGAACGACGGGGAAGAGGGACTGACCCTTGCTTTCAGCATCCGCCAGGGGTAGTTGTCCCGGTTCCGGCCACAGTTGCATTCCCGCGGCTCGTCGTTTCCAGACGCGAAGAGCTCCGTCCCCTCGAGGGCCTCGCGGAAGCGCCCCTTGCACCTGTCGTGGTACGTCACGAGCCTCAGCAGACTCCGGGAACTGAGCCGGCAGAGGTCCTCCTCGTACGCCTGGCCTGCGGCATCGCTTCCGCCCGAGAGCAGATCGATTTGCAGCGTGCGGCGTGCGATGCCGGGCATCTCGTCGTCCCACCCGAAGCGCGCCGCGAGCACGTAGGCTTTCAGGGGGTGTGCGGCGAAGAGGGGGTGGCCCTCGATGCTCGCCTGTATGACAGAAAGTGGGCCGGGGGCATCCCATTTCTCAATGAGGTCGAGGGTCGTCAGGATCTCGGATAGCGCGGTCCACCGGGGGATGGGCAGCCCGCACATCAGGCGGAGGACGCGGTCCATCGGTCCATCAGCCTCGTGCGTAGGTATGATTTCGGGCTTGACTTCCATTTGGGGGTCGGACGAGTCGCGAAGTTGGACGGAGGATGAGGAGGCCCCCTGCGGAAGTGAAAGTAGGGTGCGAAAGAAGTGAGAGGTCGTGCGCAGGACGACGGAGTGCACGTGGTAGAGGGTGCCTTCGGTGGATTGGAGGATAATGTCTGCAGTCGGGTCGGAGAAGACGGAACTAGTGCGCAGGTCATGATCTTTGCTCGAGGATGACATGTCGTCGTTCGTGGGGAAGGATGTCACTAGAAAGCACTGGGGGAGTTAGATGGGCTTGATTGACAGGTGGCTGTCCTATTGATCACTTAGGCACTTCTGGGTAGATCAGCGACTCTTTGGTCGCCGACGCACAATCTGGTACTAGTCAACTGTTCCTCACTCGCTCTTGACGCACAATCTGTCTTCTTCCTCTCAGTGGCATATTCTCTGCTCATGATTGAGAGAAAACATTCCGACCGAGGTGGTTCACATTTCGACCGAAAAGACGTGCAATCACCGCAGACAATCCAATGGCCAACACCGGCGGGAAGTCTTCCCAGACATTGAGGCGCCAATGTTAGACTGAAAATCCCACGGAATCATTGAATCTTCGAGGACTGCGCTTGTCTCATCGCCCGCTACCTTGCGCAGCAGGGGTTTGCACCTCTTTGAGACCTGCTGTGCGACGCCGTTTGGATTTTGGCTGAGCATCATGATCTAGGCGGAGGCTTGGCAGCTTGACCTCCCCCAAACGCAACGTTCTGGCTCCTTGTCTTGACTTTGACGGGAACGCATGCTGCAGTAACATTGCCTCCTCGAGGCTCAGATCAGCGAAAGGAACATCGGGCACTGCTCGCTTTCACGCCTCGCCGGGCCTGCTCTTCTACCCCTTTGCCTCACTAACCGGTGGTCCGATACATCAAGCGCTTGGGTCTCCCTAACTGTGACGAAGTCCTCCGACTCGTTCGCCTGCAGGGTCGCAGCGGCTTTTCGGCTGTCTCGACATTTAATGCGCACAGGCACCCCTCACTCACTTCATGCCGACAGTATTTCCGATCCAGGACTCGCTTTCCTTTTTGTCTCTCTTTTGCCCGAGAATGCTCGAGTCGGGAATGCTCGCTTCCTTGCACCGGGACTTGAAGCCAGTCGGACCTCCGGACAAGCACTAAGCGAGCACGAGCAGTGGCACATTTGTCTATAAGTATATGGGATCTATGTACATCAGTGCTCCACCGCTCCTGCTCTGGCGCAGTTGCATATTCTTTCGGTTATTCAAGAGCGCTTCGGGCACTCACGTACTTTTCATAGTGGCCGACGGTCACGGCGGAGCCTGCCCCACTGCTTTGCGTCTTGTCCTCGGACATTGACGGGCTCCCTCAGGTCCAGAATGCAGCGCCATGCACACAGGAGAAGTATGGAAGGAGAAAGACAGGGGAGGAGAATACTCGGGCCAGTGCACGCAGAAGATGGCGACATCAAGGATCAAAGGCGTCGTCGGAGTGAGAGCCAGAGTTTGCGTTCAAGTATATACATTTCGAGTCTCGGAATTTGGATCTTCTGCGTTCTCTTGGTGCATCTTAACATGCGATGCCTTAGATAGCCGGGACATTCGAGAGACACCCAGCCTTGCCAGCGCTCACGGCACGGCATCACCGTGTTTCACCACCACCACACGATCCCCCATACTTAGACGATTGTCGTCATCGAGGATTGTCATCTCCATCACCCTACCTTCTTTCTGCCTCCGCTTTCCTACTTCATCCCTCCCTTCCTCCGCTCCTCGTTTTTCCCATCGCCTCGAGCGAGCCAGCGGCCGAAAGGAGCTTTTTCTCCGTCGTCGTCCAGGAAACCACGAACGGCCGGAAGCACAGTTTGAGAGCCTGACTTGCTCACCACGATGTCCCGTCCCCCACGCCACCGTCCGCCCTCGGGCTCACCCGCCTCGTCCTCTCCATATCAACAGGAGCGGCCTTTCCTGCCCAACGATGGCTCGCGCGGCAACGTATCGTTTGCCGCATCCCCGTCGCCATCGTCGCCTGGACCGCACCAACAGAGGGTCGGCTTCGCAACGGGTGGATTTCATCATGCGATGGGAGGAGCAGGAGACGCAGAATCCGGAGGGGCAGCACAAGGCGGCTTCGGTGGGCAAGCACAACGCAAAAAGTCGCTCGTGCGGCCGGAGAGGGAAAAGATCGACCCGGGCACAGGCAGTGGCACTACCGCAGCGCAGTTACAGGAGAGGGCGGAGCCGTTGGTGTACAAGCATCCAGTGCGTAGTTTCTCTCTTTCTCTACTACGTAAAACCCTCTTCTCTCGTGCTCCTCGTACACGGCGATCACGGAAGCTGACTACCGCACCAGCGACGGGCAACTACCCTCACGCCGCGCCGCTGCATCGCGGGCGCTCGCTCCTCGCGCGGGACCAGGATGTGCACGAGTCCGGTCTCGCGCTGTTCAAACGCGGGCCCGGGACACTTTTGCGCCGTCGCTCAAGCGGGGGCTCGCAATCTGCGTCCACCCCGCTGAACCCCGCCACAGCCAAAACCAAATCGCCGCGGACGAGTTGTTTCGGCGATTACGCCCCTGGCCCTAAAGGGCCGTGGATGCTGTTCTGTTACCTCCTGACGTGCTGGATACCCCCGGCCCTGATGCGAGGCTGTGGGCTCAAGACACGGGAGCAGCAGCGCGCCTGGCGAGAGAAGATGGGGCTGATCGCAGTGATCGCGGTCGAGATGGCTGTGGTCGGATTTGTGACCTTTGGATTCACTGCGGCTGTATGCGGTGCTCCGGGTGCCCGATTCCACGGTGGTCTCATTGGTATCGGTGGGGTGGGAAACGGGAGCGTTGTCATACACGGCTGGGACTACGATCTCACGAACTTCCACCATCCGGCTGCCGGTCCGTTTGACGGCCACACCAATCCTATCCTCGTCGGCGGCTGGGGTTTGGCGGGCAACGACGCAAGTTTCATGTTCCAGAAGACAAACCAGGCGTGTGTCAACATCCTCAACAAAGCCAATGGCAGTCAGATCACGGGCACTGGGGCGTTCATGGACTGGTATTTCCCTTGCAATGTGTTTGGGACGGTCACTGGCGGGGCGAAAGTGAACCAGACCGCCTATGGAAGCTCGGGAAGCTGTCATGTCAGCAGCAAGGGCGCTCCCACGGGAATGAAGGCGAAAGGGCAGGTTTACTACACCTGGGATGATGTAAGGGCTTCTGGCCGAAGACTGGCTGTCTTCGAAAGGTATGCTGCATCCTGCATTTTATTTTCTATCCGATGCTGATCGATTACCAGCAATGTTCTGGATCTCTCTCTTCTGTCGTGGCTCGACCCCGCCCAAGTCTCGTTTCCACCATTTTTCGCAGAACTCGCGGCAGCGAATTCGACATATACCCACACTGATATTACGATGGGACTCATGCGCCAGAACCGCATGTCCCTGGGTCACTGTCTGCAAGATACCATCACTGTTGGCTTCATTGACACCAACTCAATCGGCTGTGTCGCCTCACAAGTGCTGCTATATGTTTCGCTGGTCTTCATTATCGGCGTCGTGCTGATTCGCTTCGTCATGGCGTGTTTGTTTGCTTGGTTCTTCGCTCCCCGGATCGGTGGTTTCCCGACGGAGACGTACGAGGATCGGATGAAAAGAGCAGAGGAGATCGAGGCATGGAGCAGTGACATCTACAAACCAGCCCCTAGTGCTAGGCGTCCCAACGTCAAGAGCAAGACGTTCATCCCGAGCACTTCGAGATTCACACCAGCTGATGTCAAACGGCCCGCGTCGTCATATGCTGCCCTCGACTCTGGCTCCTCTGTCTTCAAGCGTTCGACCGTGTTCAGCGAGGGAGCTTTCGCAGAAAACCCTTGTCCGTTCCCTCTGGGCCGGCACGTGGTACCCCAGCCGCCACCCGACTACGAGCCGTTTAATTTCCCACTCGCGCACACAATCTGTCTCGTCACAGCATATTCCGAATCCGTGCAGGGCTTGCGTACGACCCTCGACTCGCTTTCGACAACGGACTACCCGAACAGCCACAAAGTGATTCTCATCATCGCTGATGGCATGGTCAAGGGCGCCGGCAACGATCTGACTACGCCGGACATCTGTCTGTCCATGATGCGCGACTTGGTCGTGCCGATAGATGAAGTGGAGCCGCACTCGTATGTCGCCATTGCGGATGGGCACAAGCGACACAACATGGCCAAGGTGTATGCCGGTTACTACGAATACGACAACTCGACTGTCGAGCGATCGAAGCAGCAGCGCGTCCCGATCGTTCTTGTCGCGAAAGTGGGCAATCCGCTCGAAGCGAACGACGCCAAGCCCGGGAATCGGGGCAAGCGGGACTCGCAGATCGTGCTGATGGCGTTCTTGCAGAAGGTCATGTTCGATGAACGGATGACGACGTTTGAGTACGAGTTCTTCAATTCGCTGTGGCGGGTGACGGGAGTGAGCCCGGACCGGTACGAGCTGGTGCTTTGTGTGGATGCGGACACGAAAGTGTTCCCGGACTCATTGAATCGGATGGTCAGCTGCATGGTGCGCGACCACGACATCATGGGCTTGTGCGGGGAGACGAAGGTGGCGAACAAGGCGGAGACGTTTGTGACTATGATGCAAGGTGTGTTTCTTCCCATTCTCTCCTGAATGCGATTTCACCACTCCCAGTCTTCGAATATTACATCTCGCATCACATGACGAAGGCCTTCGAATCCATGTTCGGCGGTGTCACCTGTTTGCCCGGATGCTTCAGTATGTACCGTATCAAGGTGCCGAAGGGAGACTCTGGTTTCTGGGTGCCGATTCTGGCCAATCCAGACGTTGTCGAGCACTACTCGGAGAACGTGGTCGACACACTGCACAAGAAGAACCTGCTTCTGCTCGGCGAGGATCGATACCTTACCACGCTGATGCTCAAGACATTCCCCAAACGGAAGAACATGTTCTGCCCTGCGGCGGTGTGCAAGACGATCGTGCCCGACACGTTCCAAGTGTTGCTGTCGCAGAGACGCAGATGGATCAACTCGACCGTGCACAATCTGTTCGAGCTGATTCTTGTGCGGGATCTGTGCGGGACGTTCTGTTTCTCGATGCAGTTCGTCGTCGGAATGGAGCTGGCGGGCACCTTGGTCTTGCCCGCCGCCATCTCGTTCACCTTGTACCTGATCATCAGCTCTATCATCCCCGGCGGCCCCAATACCACGGTTTCCCTCGTACTCCTCGCGTTCGTGCTGGGGATTCCACTCGTGCTGATCGTCATCACCAGCCGGAAGATTGCGTACCTCGGATGGATGATAATCTACCTGATCAGTCTGCCCATCTGGAACGGTGTTCTGCCGGCGTACAGCTTCTGGCATTTCGACGACTTCTCGTGGGGCCAGACGCGTATGGTCGATGGCGAGAACAAGGAAACGGCGGCGCATGGGGACAAGGAGGGTGAATTCGACTCGACACATATCGTAATGAAGCGGTGGACCGAGTTTGAGAGGGAGCGCAGAGCTGGGATCAGGTGCGTGATCGGTGGCTTCGATAGGCAGCTACTGACTGGATGATATGTGCTCACAGATCCGATTACAGGAACGAGACGCCCAAGCGATACTCCCTTGCATCCTCAGCCTACGACGCCTCCGCATCGACTAGCACCGAGTCTGGAAACCGAATGCCGCATGACGGCGGTGCTGGTGTCTTGACGCTCCCGACGCCACTGAGTGTCTCCCCGAGGCAGTCCGGGCCCAGGCAGTCGCTCACGGCTCCCAGTGCATCAGCGTCAGCATCGTCTCTTTCGACCAATCCGGCGTCTGATCCGTTCGGCACACCCCGTCTGGGAACCTTCGACGATGACACCTACTCGTACACCCAATCCCCGTCGCAGGGGCAGTTCCAGTTCGGGACCCAGACCCCGCCTCAATCCCAGTCTCACTCCCCCCCTCCGGCGCAGAACCGTCAGCCACGGCAGCCCCATGCACCGCAGCCCGTGCGGCCGCCTGTGCGGGGAGTCAGCCTCATCGACTCGGGGCCGGTTCCTGGCCCCGAAGGCGCGGTCCGGCGTGTGGCGAAGCGGAGCTCCACAGCCGCGCCTCGGTCTGGGTCGGTTCCTGCGCCGATTCCCCAGCAGGTTACCGGAGGGCATGGCCTTCCACCGGGTGCGGCGGCCCCGGCCCCGGCGACGTATGGGCTGCCTCCTGGCGCAGCTGCGCCGACGCCGTCGCACAGATGGACCGGGTACGAGGCCGATGATCAGGACACCGAGTATTAGTGATCTGGACGGACACGCGGACTTTTTTCTTTTCACTTTTCTTTTCACCTCTTTTCCCTTTCATACGTTCTCTTTTTCATGAACGCAACGACGACTGCATTCATCTGACGGGCATTTAGACACTACATTCATGTACTTGCACTATTTTAATCGATATACCCCGTTCGGTCTTTCGCCTGTTCTATTGCATGCGATACTGATGCTGCATGGGCGGAAGATTGGCATGTGCCGCCCAGTCTCCGGTTGGAATAAGGAGCAGGGCATAAAACCATACATGCATGTAATAACGTTGGAGATTCAAGGGACACCCTTGTTCGGATGCAGAAGGAATGGTTCTGCATCTGAGGAAGAGCCCTGCGGCGCAAAAAGGAAGGACAAGTCACCCTTCTCTCTGCTCCGGAGAGACTCGAACTCTCGATCTTCTGATTTATGGCCAATGTATTTAACAGTCAGACGCCTTAACCAGCTGGGCCACGGAGCACATAGCCAAATTGATGACAGGAAGAATATCAGTCCGCGGGGATGATTTCAGAAAGAGCAAGAACGCACGTTGTGAAGTTATGGTTCGACATCATTTCTGAAGAGTTCTGCCGTCGCCTTCCAGGTTAAATGATATCTTCACTCTGTTCTGACATTTCAAAGGCAAGCTGACCCTGCTTCTCAGATTAAATGTAGCTTTTTAAGGAGCAGTCTGACAGTGAGGGACCAAGTAAGTAGCGAAGCACGCTGATTCTGCCTGAACACAGCGAGATGCAATGAGGGTGATTTCAAGTACATGAGTAAGACATGAGAGTATACTGGGCACTAACAGGGTGCACGAAAGGCGATAATCAGAACAGACGGAGAAGAATGTTGAACGGAAGACCATGATAATGGCCAAAGAGAGGATGAAGGAGATCAGCGCAGCCCACACTTTCAGAGAGAGACGGTTTATGCTCCAACTCAAATATCAAAGCCCACCAATGGATTCATCTCGGTAGGTCTCCTGTACCACTTTAGGTGACTGCAAAGTTATCGGGGGGGAGACTGCTCAACGCTGGACGGTTCAAGGTTGTCTCTGTAATCTTAGTCGGATTATATTGGTCTCTGTCAATTCCACTGACACACACCGGTGGTGAAACGGTATCATGCTTGCCTTCCATCGAACAATCTAGCTGCCCGAGCAAGCGGCACGGGTTCGACTCCCGTCCGGTGTATGTTTTGCTGCCGTGCCCTTCCCGTTTCTCGCAGATTTGATGGCACCGCTTCTAACTACTGTTATTGCCTATTCAAGCAGCTTGTCCTTCTTGAGGGCCGAACAAATTCATGTCAAATTCCAGAACTGCGGTCCATCGGACACGCACAATCCCCGGACCAGACCGATATGGACGACAGACAAAGAGTCTGGAACAAGAGATCTTCCAAATGCAGCGGACTACGCCGTATGTCGTTCGGCAATTGACAGGCGATTGACTTATCACTTGGCCTGACAGAAATGCTAATAGGCGTTAACGGGACAGCTGCAGAAACGTATCGCCGCGCATGAATCAGTTGATGTCGCGACTCGCATCTCTTGGGAGCCACATGCTGCAGAGCGCCCGAGTCCGAGACAATCTTCTGCCATCCGAGACGAGACGCGATCTCATTCCCGGATATACGCGCGATGGATAAAAGATGGCTATCAGCGACTGCTTTGCAGCGCTTGGCACATGTGAAGGAGAGAGAGGGTGTCTGGTGTGGACACGAACTCTAATTCGGATGGGCCCAAGAAAAAGGCGTAGCGTACTTTGCCGTGCTGCGATGACGGCTTGTCCGCTCCGTACTCGGTTGTCTGATCTCTATCCCATTCCCCGCTCGGTGGCAGTGCGTCATCGAAACAACGCGCCGGGTTGAGATGGAAGCAAAGGCAGTACAAGTTACAAAAATAAGTGTGTATCTGGAAACGGGGCTGAGGCTGTACTCGATGGATACATGTTACATGTCACTCTTCGTTCTTCCTATCGGCGCTGATGACGTTCAACAAACTGCCTAACCTGGACCCAATCGCGGCACTGGTGCACCACATGGTCCCCCGAAGCACCTGAATCGCAGATCCCCAACTGTTCGTCGCACTCCAAGACTGTCGGCTCGATGGTGATGTCGCTCGCACAGCGGATGGCCTGCCGGATCTGGCCCAGGCACCCATCCACATCTACTTCTTGCTCTGCAGAGATGACGGATGGCCCTGAGGCGTCGCGCAGACTGACGAATGCAGCCCGGATGACATCGAGACAGCGAAGATCACTGAAGAGACCGACAGCATATTCGTTTTCGCCAGATCGGGCGGGAGATCCCGCATTGGGCCGCAGCCAGATGTGCCCTCCGTATGCGGGAACAAGCGATGTCCAGGACCCTGCGTCGGTGATGTTGTAGTGGTGCGCACCGAGATCGAACTCGAGCGCGGTGTGGGTGTGCGGCGACGCGAGAGGAAGCTCGCCGGGACCGCTGGACGCTGATATAGACCCTGCGAGCGTTCGAAAGTTAGTCTGAGTATGGGTTCCATTGATTGTGCACGCGAATTGGAAGACGACTAACTTCGCGGGGGAGACATTTTGAAGTACAGAATGGCATTCAATGCCAGACTCGACAGGAAGAGGAGGGTCGTCGTCGCCTTGGTGGTCAGCATGGGCGGGAGAATGGTATCGCTCGCAGCAAGCGGTGGCGAGTGCACTATGAAGGAAAGCTCAATGAGATAAGCATCGCACAGGCTTGGCGGATGACTCGGTATCACTTACTTCAACTCGGCTTGACGCAAGCTTCTTCGAATCAGGATGGAAGCCCCAACTGTGGTAGCGATACCCTGTGTATGTATGGCTCGGGGCAAAACGCTGTGCGAATCGAAACCAGCGCGCGGCGTGCTTCTATCTTCGGCAGCATCTCATGATCAAACGAGATTCGTCAGAGTCAATTTTATCATCTTCTGACTCTCACTCGGCCGCTATAAATGCTTGCATGTAAGCGAGGCTAATAACCATCACTCCTCACCCAGCACAAAGAGCCATGCACGCGACCTCGAGCCTCCTCCTTGCCCTGACTTCACTGGTGGCTCTCGTGGCTGGTGCCCCCGTCGGTCTCGAAGGTAATCAGATCTGCATATGGCTACGTATGGCCCACGGCTAACACTGTCCGCAGCGTCAGTTCTGGGGACAAACACCTGGAGCCGCAGAGGAAAAGTCCAGTCGAATCGCGCGCATTCTGGGCTGCGGAAGCCGAGCCTGCAACTGCAGAGAAACGTGCATTCTGGGCCGACGAGGTCGAGCCAGCGACCAAGGAGGCACGCGCATTCTGGGCAGCCGAAGCCGAGCCCGCCACTCCTGCGAAACGTGCTTTCTGGGCAGCAGAAGCTGAGCCGCCACCCCTGTGAAACGCGCTTTCTGGGCGGCGGAGGCCGAGCCTGCAACCACGAAGGAAAACCGTGCATTCTGGGCAGCCGGGGCAGCCGAGCGAGCCGGCGACGTCCGAAAAGCGCGTTGTGGGCGGCAGAGGTTGAGCCCGCCTTCCCAGCTGAAGCCCGAGCTGTGGCGCCGACAGCGGAAGCACTCAGGCTCCCCCGCGCGTTCTGGGCCGCCGAAAAGAGCCCGCTGCCGGAGGAAAACGGGCTCTGTGGGCCGCCGAGAAAGAACCTATTGTCAAAGTGGAGTGAAAAATTTTGAAGCCGCATCATATGTATCTCTCTCTCTGTCTCGGTGTCTGTTATCTTGACCTATCGTGTAAATATTGGATCGTGTATGTATTGATCTGTTCGATTGCCGTGAATGCCAAATACCCTCTGCGTCGAGTCAGAGTAGAACGAAATGAATGCATGATGAGGATTCCAAAGGCCGAGAACAGCCCGAGGCGCCAAATTCTACCGGGATGGCAATCGCATAGGACTGTAGCGTAGCGTTCTAGAAATGGTGACATCGGGAGAAGATCTGCTCAAACTACACAGCCATTAGAAGGGATGGCATGCCACTGATTAGATCTGCTGGGTGTGCGTCAAACTCCGTCAGTATATGTATGAGAAAACGCCGGCCCAACGCACCTCGTACATCTATCTATCTGCTCCCATGCCGTCCGCTCCCCCATCCTCTTGACGCTCGCATGCATATCATGCATCGTCAACGTCTTCCTCGTCATCACGGCCTGGTCCGCTCACGATTGAGCGAGAGGACCTCGATCACAGCGCTGGTATGTATAGATTAGCAGCAGTGCGCGTGCCCGAGAGCGTGTATCTTACCTCGGCGCTCCAGAAATCGAAGTCAGCGAGATCCCTATCCCATTCTCACCGGCACACCACCACCGCCTTCGCGCTCCCAGATCCCAACTTCCCCGTCTCCGACGACCACAAATGGGCGACCATCGTGCCCCCCACTCCGGGTTCGTCGCGCCTGGGCCGAACGGCACGGCGTTCGCGGTCTCGATGTACCACCAGCCTGCACTGCGTTCAACGCGGTCGTCGGTGCGCTGTTCGCATACAACGCCGCGCGCAAGGGCTACTTCAAGACCGACGCGGAGAAGGCCGCGTCGTTCGGGCACGCGCGAACCACTGCTTCGACTTCTGCGGCAGGCGCTCCTGTGTCGCGCCGACACGACGCTCATCCCGGGAGACGAGGCGAGCGAGGCGACGAGAGGGCGAGGAGGGTGGATGGGGGATCCTCGTCGGCGTGTGTAAGGTCGACGAGACGCAGAGGTGCGCGCGTTCGTGGACGAGAACCATCGCTTTTGGAAGAAGAACGAGTGGCCAGGCCAACGGGCTGTTTGCGGCATAGTTTTGCGACTTGGGGGATGTTCTACATTGTACAAAAGAGGGAGACAGGGGATCACTGGTCCGTAGGACGAGTACGTCTGTGCGCCGACAGGAACGGCCCGACTGACACTGACGATGAAGATGCTGGAAGAGGGCATCACTGATGCTGACTTGTTTGTCGACTACCATTCTTGTACTTTGAACGAGACTTCACCACTTGGTACAGTAACAGTACATTCGTCCAAGGACATTCTACGAACAGCCATTTGATATACCGTACCTCCTGGACACGACATCACGAACGGCTGAGGATGTCCACCAATCTGCTGGAACCGCGCACTCCGCCGACTCTGGAATCTGCACAGTGCGGTCAATCTTTGTTCGCCCCCGAGCTTATCCTGGTCGTACCCTCTACGGTGTATTCAGCTACATATGTCTGATTCTGAATTCGCGGATGGACGAGCCAAGTGCTATGTGGCTGTGGACCGTGCAATGAAGCGGATACATATCGAGGATGATGATCGCTTCTGGAAGGCGATGCTGGCTACGAAGGCCACCCACTTGCTCGTGTTGACTATACGACAGGCTCAAAATCAAATCTGGAGCACGAGCTGGCTAGCCGCGACAATATCTGGGGCACGGATATCTACGGAGCGCCAAAATTACGACCAGGGCGACGGGCCGCGGAGAGGTGGCCAGCCGATATTTGTGGGCGTCCCCTGCCTGTTTAGTCATGCCTGCTGCAGCTTATGTGTTTCACTTCGGCTGGTCTCTTCTTCGGTGTTGTCCCCTGCACTTTTGATCGAATGCTCGACGCGCTGAACCTCGTTTGGTACCCGAACCCCACCAGCACCAGATCGCGACAGCGCGGACCACACCAGGCGCAAGATCGAGTACGGCACGGGCGACGACGGATCCACCCGTCGCTATTCTTCTCTCCTTCATTCTCATCCTCATCACACGCAACGCTCTCTGTTTCAGAGTCTCGTTGACTAAGCTTGCTAAGCTTGCCATGCGCTTCGTTGCTACACCGGTCGAGCAATGGGTACAGGAGAAGCAGCATCGGGCCGCCATGGTCTCCTCCCTTGCATCTGTCCTGCAGTTTACAACGCTCCAACGTGCATGCCGTTGTCCGCGTTTCGCCGCTTCTTTTTGCACGGAGCACTCGTCTTGTTCTTTTCTCGACTCGTCGTCCTTCGCTCCGGGGCCCGCAACCACATCATCATCAACATCTCTTCCGCTCTTGGCCTCTCGTTGTTTTGCTCCACCGAATGTTTACTGTGCTTCCTGTTCTTCGAGTGCATATTGGACTACGAAGTCACGCTGCTCCGCTTGCTATTCGATAGTTGTGGACCGATTTGCTCGTTCATCGCTCATCGGAACCCTCCCGCCCCGAAATTAGGATAGCGTCGCAATCCGGTGCTCCAGGAATGATGACTGATTCAGGGTCGA